CAGTTTCCAGGTGGTGCACTCATCTTGATCTTTTCCTAAGGTGTTAACCTCTTCAAGGATAACCCGCTCTGATACCAATTGATGTTTTAAGCGTCAACACCACACAAGAGGGGGGGTGATTTGTGTGGTACTCAATTTTCGCAATAGAAGAACCTGGTTCTTCTAGGTGTTCCAACTACTGCTGTTTGCGGAATAATAAATACATAAAATAAAGAACACAGAAATTTTTACGTGGAAAACACCTGGCTCAAAAGGTGAAAAAACCACGACCTACTCAGTAGGATTTTCTCAAACTTCTACTAAAATCACTGAGCCAAAACAACATTTATAAAAACTCTTTGTAAACCTAAGGATTAACTCTAATCCCGTTGTGTCACACAGCCTCAACTGTTGCGACAACTTCAAGTTAACTCTAACTTGAACACTTTAGGTACCTAATACAATTGCTTCTATGAAATCTGAAAGGTACAATGTAAAATCACCTACTACAGTTGAACTAGAATAAAAGATAGACACTAGGAACTGGTTCTTCTATCTCGTTCAAGTAGCTTCAGGATTGCACATTCGAATCACACATAAATTGCTTGCAAAATCGCCTTGCTCTTTTGCTCTCAATTTAAGTTTAAATTCTACTTGTGTGCATTCTTGTAAAAGAAAACAACACTAACATTTAATAGGTTAGTGATCAGAGTTTGACTAGGATTCAATTGCTGCTCTTCTATCGTAGAAGAGTTCATGATGATCTCAAACTCTAACACTATCTTTATCCTAGATTGTGTTCTCTTTATGTAAGGAGTATTTCTCTCTTTATCCAATATGCAACCTTTTCGATTAGATCAGGAGATATTGTTGCTCGATCAATTTGACTTATCTCCTTCACGTGCATCTCACATATGCATATAGATCATGACTGTGCTTCACAAGATGGACCTGGTCCATGTCTGAGTTCTTTTGTCAATCTTCAAAACTTCACCTGTTCTTGGGCCAACAGATTCTATCCTTATACCATATATTTATAACAAAGGAAACAATCCACAACTCCAACTATCTTCAATTAGCAACTTTATTCACTAGTTCATGTCTAGTCCATCCATTTAACTTAATAAAAGTCAAGATAACCTTAAGAACATTCAATAACACATTATAAATACCTCCTACAATAGCTTCAAGTTAAAATCCAAGTTATATTTAGCTTACAACAACCCCCAATGGAAATACAAAACCATAGAAGTGACTTAAGCTAATCCAAGTATTATCTTGTAGTTTATCATTCTAACAACTTAACCAACATACAAGCCAGCCTAAGCACAATTAGTAAGATGTTATACTCATCTTATCCAATAGCAACAACTTGAAATTTCAGCCAAACACGGCTCACAACTATCCTCAATGCCAACACAACCTCAAAGAGGTGTTGTTCTTCATTGGAACTAACTTTTGATGTTGAAATATGGTGTAATCCATTTGCAAGACTTGAAATAACCTATTAAAGAGCTTAAACCACTTAAAACAACCTCCCACACGAGCTGAAACCACCCAAAAATCAGCAACAACAAGAAGAACAAGAAACTTACTAGCATGACGGGATTCCCAACACTTGATTAGTGTTGTTTGCCCTTTGTTTGGGTCCTGGATCATGAGAGAACCTTGAGAGAGTGTTTTTAGGTGTCTAGGGTCTGAAGATACTGAAAAAGAATGAGTTAAAACGGGGTTTCGGCGTCTTATATATATCAATATATCTCAACCGCCATTGTGGGTCCCATAGAGAGCTTCTTGGCGCAGTCTCGCAAAAATGCAAATATCTCTCTACTCTGACATTGTATCGACGAACAGTTTAATGCATTAGAAACTAGACTCGTAGATATTCAATTTGGTAGGTAGATCACCCCATAATTCAAAGTAAATTGGGAGAAAATGGCATCTACATTTGACCTAATTTTCAGTACATTTATAAATGTAACTTGTGATGACCTTTGCCAACTTTTGTTCCACAACTTGCTTGCCTTCAAAACGTAGTAAATGACTATCATACGACTAAAATAACTCATATCATAACCTCCTTATTGTCACGCCCCAAACTTGAAGAGGCGTGGCCGGCACCCGGTGCCGTACTCGGCCCGAGCGTGCCACTCTATAATTGTGAACTCTGGAGGGGTAACCCTCAACTTAGGCTAACGAGGCCATATTCTGAATCGTCTGAAAATAACGTCTCTCTCATCTGTGGGGTAAACATACCCATATATATATATATATTTATATATATATATATATATATAAAACTGCGCAGGCCGATGAAGCCGCCATGAACATCTAATGATATAAAAAATATGCAGGACTCGTCTACAAGCCTCTAGCGACAGCTGAACTGTATCTTGGTCGGGACAGGGCCTCGACCTACCCATCAAACCTGTATATATAAACTGGACTCCAAGGTCTAGACCCGGTAACTCCGAGGAAGTGGAGCTTACCAACCAAGTTGATGTTAGACTCTGTCTACTAGAGGGTTTGTCCAACTGTTATTCAAGACCTGCAGGCATGAAATGCAGCATCCCCGATAAAAGGCACGTCAGTACGAAATAATGTACCGAGTATGTAAGGCGACATAATAACTAAAAGTTGAAATTAAACTGATAATAGAATAACTGAAAGTAACTGGGAGTCAAAGATAATCTGAAGATATGCTTACCACCTGATACTGACTGAACTCTCTCAATATAGTAAGTAAAATAGTTGTCGGCCTTATAAGGCTCGGTATATGTAACTGCTCTGCCGTAGTAGGCTCGCTCATAGGCGCTCGGCCATACTAGGCTCTGTATCTCGGCCATTCTGGGCTCGCTCATAGGCGCTCGGCCACAGTAGGCTCGGTATATAACTCACCATCAAGATCATAGGTTGCCCAAATAGGGGCCTGCCCATCGATTATAGCTCGATGGTGGTGAAAATACTGTAATACTATATATATATATATATATATATATATATATATATATATATATATATATAGACTCTCTGCTCTCTTGGATGACAAAAGACAAAACTAAACTGAATATGAAGTCCCGATAAGGGAGAATGCTGTAACTTATGAGACTAGGAAAATGTACATAATTTCAGGAATAAGAACTTCTCTTTATGTCGCGTTATCAAACACATGTAGTTACTGGATCATGCCAAAGTGAAAGAAAGGTTTAGCCTTAACATACCTTATCACAATATGTCCAATAACCACATTAAACTTGTCTTTTTGCACCTTAATCTACAACAATGATAACAATACTATCATCAAGTTATGGAAGGTACAACTATCACACAACGAACGACAAGCTTATTTTGTAACAAAACGGGCAGCATCTCCCTTATAATCTTTACATCCCCCTAATTCGACATAACACCAACAACGCAAGAACACAACAATAACAACATATATACATCATTTTCCAACCTTATATGCATCACAAAATACCACAAAACTGCCCAATATACCCCTATCACTCCATACACAAAACGACAACCATAGTAGTGTCAAACAACCTAAAAATGTAACGATGATGATCAGCCAAACACCCTACCATTATGTGGTGTTTTTACACACCCTTTCTCCTCCAAAACTCCACAAACACATCAGCAAAAAGAGACAACCCAACAACAACATGAAGCAGCCCACAAAACAGTCCACTACAAGTTGAACAACTCGAACTCACGGCTTCCGATCACCGTCCCGTAAGTTCTTACAATTATTGAATGAATTTTTCTATTTTAACAGCAGAAAAAATGGATGAAAAAGGGTAGTATACCTACCATATTTGGTGAATATCTCAGATCCTAACTTGATTCTTCAACCCTTAGATTTTTCTCCAACTAGAACTTGTAAAGAAGAGAAAATTATTTAGGGTTTTGTGTTGAATTTTTGGAAGGATTTTTCTGGGGTATACATCTGATTTTTTTGATCTATTATGAGTGTAATATTTGAAGAAAATCAGCCCTTAAAAGGGCTCTTTGACCGACCTTGGAGCTTTCAATTGAGGCCTCTCCTTTTGGCAAGTAGGTGATGCACCTACTTGTCACTTACTACTCTGCGCAGTCTTGCCAAAACGTGAATATCTCTCTATTCCAATGTCGTATCAGTGAACGGTTTACTTTGTTGGAAACTAGACTCATATATATTCAATTTGGTAGGTAGATCATCCCGTAATTCTATGTATATTGGGAGAAATGCCCAACTACATTTGACCTAATGTTCAGCATATTTATGAATGTAACTTGTGATGACCTTTGCCAACTTTTGTTCCGCAACTCGCTTGAATTCAAACTGTAATACAAAACTATCACAAGACTAAAATAACTCATCCTTATCATGTTAAGCAACCTAATATCACCCCAAAAGTACATGTTATAACATTCCCAGCTTGTCGACATTCGACGAAATTTATTTTCTTCAATTTATTTAGCTTTTAAGCCTTTCAACCATCTTGGCACACTACAAGAAAAACTGCCTTTAAAGAAGGGAAATATGGTCCCTAAAGATCCAATATGGTCCTAATAAATCAATCGCGACGGGAAAAAGTTGGTCGCCACCCGTCGCAATAGCTTCCGCCGATCAAGGTCAACAACGACAATTCTAAAAATCTGGTCGTTAAAGGGTTTTAGAGACGAGGGGAAAAGCTAGTCGTTAAATACTTTTAGAGACAACATATCTCGTCCCTGATAGGCCATTAACATATTATTCCAATATATATTTCTGGTCGTGAAATAGTATTAGAGACCAGCCTTTCCGTCCCTAATAGATGATTAATATATTACAAAAAATATATATTTTTCAGCCGTCAACACTTTTAGGGACTAGCATTTAACTGGCCGTAGATTATATTTTAGAGACGAGACCCATTGGTCCCTATTTAAAATAAATGTAGTAACTTTAAGGACCGTATTTCTGGTCTTTTATTAACCACAAGTAGTCCTAAAGCTCGATGTCACAAAAAATTATTTTATAAATAAATATCAAATTGCTCCTAAAAAGTCTTGATATAAAAAGATATTAATTACAATGTTAACACCCATGATGTTAGTTTCAATATTTACTCAACACCTTAACAAAAAAGCTTAGATAACATCCTGCGTTAGACAACAATATCAAGTTTTACATAATATTCCTAGCAAAATAATAATGAACTTGTGTATCTTCCAAACTTGCATTCTTGTAGCTTCAATCTTCAAAACCTGTAAGGACAAAATTTTGAAAATACGATGAATAACTATTAGTAAAATAATATATGTAAAATTACACTTGCAAGAACATAACTAATACAAACATTGGCATGTTAATTATTTTGGCACATAATGGTCTGGAAATTTGTCCATACATGTCTTGAAAAGGCCTAGGTAAAGTAGAATGAAGTCACAAATATATTTTTTCTGATAGAAACTTTAACCTACAATATAAGTTCAACTCTGCAATTAGAAATCTCTACATAGTACATAATTGGTGGTTTGGTGCTATCACCCAGCATCATTTATCATAACTTGTGCAAGTGTCATTTGTCACTTATTGACAAAATAGAAAATATCAACAGAGGAAAATCTCCTCGTCAACTCTTCAGAATCTAAGTCTGTAATGTTAGCAGCATCATAATATGTAAAGGAGTCACTATAAGACAGCTTTCAAAAGAAGTACGTTGATGGTGTGAACCATCTTTAGATTTTGAAATGCCTTTTTGGTGAAAATGCACTTCTATCCATCTAAAAAAATGCACTTCGATCTGTACATTTACTCCACTTTGATATGCTTACAGGTGATTACTTCTATCAAAAGTTTTGAAGTCTTAATTATATATAATACCTGTCTGACCCAACAAGTGTACATTGGACAAACAGTCAAGCAGCCCAAAAGCTTAAAGAAAAAGTATGTGTGTCCAGAATTGTTATACAGGCAGCACATGGATGCTTCAGAGAAGCTCCTGACCCCAGCTTATGTAATAAGAAATACAACAAATCAGACTAAACACGAAATGAGCGATTATTTAAAGAGCAGGCAATAAATTTAGTAAAGCATATACTTCTATCACCACAATACTTGACGCATTTTAACCACCTAATACTTGGATTTGCACTTAAAGAACTAACAGAATTCAGCCTTATTAATGCATTTTTCCTTACAATGTGGCAAGTCATATCTCTTTCCATGGTGAACAGAAACTTGGGCACACGAGTCTTAGATCAATGATAATAGAATTAGTTGTGATAAAAGAATCCCAATACATATGGTATAGTGATGGGATTCTTCTGTTTACTCATAGTTTACTCACTAGTGAAATCAAACAATTGATAGATCTATAAGATAGAAATGACTATATGCAAATCAACAAAAAGAATTAAAAAGTAAGGTATATTATTACTAACTTGGCCAGCAAACAAAAATAGTGGCCATTCAGTTGAACCGGGCGATGTCCTAGGTGAGACATGTGATTGTTGTGCAGCGAATAATTCCTTTATTTTCTTCATTTCTTTCATCTCATCTTCTAAGGTAGACAAGCGGTCATGTAAGGATTTGTTTTCCTCATTCAAAGATTTGTTTTCCTCTCGAATTGAACGTAGCGCGGACAGTAATTCAACCTTTGAAGAAGTGCCACATTTCAAGTCTTTCGCCTTTACTCCACCCCCAAAGCCAAATACATGGCTACGAGTATGAGGTCCACAATATTTTTCTACTATCTCTATGCTAGGTAGTGATGGATCCGACTGAACAATTTCTTCAATATGAGCTTACAAAACATATGAAGAAATATTTTATATCAAAACCCATAATAATTCCAAGTAATTTACATATTCAATTTACCAAACATACATGTTTTTCAATTGCTTCAGGTTCAACAAGCTTGTTATTTTTCTTACGAGTCTCAAAGAAATTTGTTGCCAAATCGGGTGGATTGCCATTTTTTCCACCCTTTACATCAAAGGCAAACATGTCAAAAAATACCTTGTAAATATTTCCTTTAGGAATATGGATATTTTATCATAATACCTTTTGATAAATAATCTCTCGAATAGGTTTGCTACCAATATGATGAAGCATCATCAACTTAGCTCGGTTTGCTGCATTCCTATTGCTTCTTGCCTTTGTGAGATAACAAGCTTAAATATAATTAATGTAATAAATTTAAATAGTACACTTATGTTTGATTCCAAGTATAGCGGAAAAAATATATTTGGTGTTAGGAAAGGAATCAGACAGCAGATGCTTTGGCAAAATAGACTATTAAATCACTGGGCATACCTGAAAACTTTCTGAAGAAAAATGTTCCTTTACTAACGACTCCCATTCTTTCTTGTCTACTCCGTTTGGAATATTCTTAAGAGCCTATTGGATTGGCTTGTCCTTCACATATTTTGCATGCAAGTGTCCTCTCCCTTTATTCCATAACTATTTCATCCATCCAAGATATGAGCACGATAATCATTTATGTGACCACTCTCAAATTTATCCTATAATAATCAAAATATTTGTTGATTAAATGCATCACAAGATACTATCAGCAAAGTGATACAATTCTGAATTCCTCTTCAGTTATGAAGCTACCATGAAGCCTTTTCAATAATAACATAAAAAGAGAATGAAAATAATTCACCTACATTGCTACACTTTTTGCAAGAAAGTGAAGAAGACAACTTCTTCTAGCTTTCAAGACTTCTAGGTTTCAAGTACTATTTTCAACTAAGACTTGAATTTCCTCTCGGATGATGCTTACACCATAGCTATTCAACTTTTCCCAGTCCAAATAAAGTTTAACAGTCAATGACTCATTCAAACAATTGTTAAACTCAACTCTCAGTTAAACAAACTACTTAGAAACTCAATCAAGGATTGAGATCACAATTGGCAGCGACAACTGGAACACAAATGAATTTTTTTAAAACTTACAATAACTATGACAGACTTCAGCTCAATACACATAAATCAAGAAACTAAAATCGCAATTTAAAAATCTAAACACATTCATCGGAAAAAAGACATAAAAAGACTCAAAATGTACAACATACTCTTGACTATATTTGTTACCTCAATAGCCGCCCACATATGATTCAACTTTTCTTGCTTAATATCATTCCACGATGATGCCCCCAACGGACACATATTACGATCACGTACTATTCTGCCCAAGTGCTAAAACATCTTTAAAAAGAAAGTATGTACCAGATTTTTATTTTTTGAATAGATGAAAATGAATAGTGGACTTGCAACCCTTCATTTTTTGAACATAGAAAATGAAAATCTTTTTCAGATGTAAAATACATACACCAATATCTTTATTTCATTACAAGCAACAATGAATTGCAATTTTCCCAGATGCTATCTCTTACTGCATTTACATTCAGAGTAGGTACTGACAAATAAGAGACAAATAAATACACTAATATTTATGCTATAGGATATGTCACTAACCATTACTCAAACAACCTGTTGCTAACTCCTGCTCTATGTAGATGCAAACCAGACAAGGTTGCAACAGTAACTTTGGTATCACCTTCTTCTCAATTGTAGGTCAATTAATAAGCTATTACATATTCTCATTCATGAAATCCAACCTATCTTTAAGCTAAATTCTTTCTCGTTGTCTTTCTAAGATTCGCTAAGCATAATATTTGTTTACAAGCCACTAGGTATCACTAATCACAATTTTAGCAATTCAACAAGGTGCTTTCGGCACTCTTCTATAGTACACAATCCACAGTGCTACTAACAGGGATTAGTTAAGTGGGGAAGGCAGAAACACACATCAACGAAGCAAAAGAAGGCAATTAAAATCTGCCGCAGAGAATGCAGAATCGCAATTTTAAATAAACTTCAATTAAATTATTAAATTAGGAATCCCAATCGAATAATCTTTTTACTGATTATACAAAAGAAAAAAAAATACCAAAATATGAAACCTTACCAATTTTTTAATGTCATAGAAGAAGAAGAAGATCGGATAACTCGAATAAGCGAAGCAATCGGCGAAAAAGAGCAACTTGAAAGAGGGGCATACCACAGATTCTCAAACGAGCGAGATGGAAACTTGGGAAGACTCACACACAACCAGATTTATAACTTGTCTTTTGAGAAAATACAGATAAGGGAGAAGGTCAGAGCTCGGCGGAATACTAGGGGCAGAGCTGATGCGCGCGCGACTTGTGTTTTGAGAATACATAGAGTTTCTTTACTTTTTAAAACTTTTTATTTCAATTTATTAGTTTTGGCGCCTAATTTTTCAGAAAATAATGTAGAGTAATTTTTAATATTTTGGTATTAGATTTGGCGGCACACTAATGCCCCTCAATTATAATTTGGGAGTTGGGACCACTTACTAATTTCTTTAGGGACCAAATTTAGTATCTTCGCAATAAAATAAAGCATTAAGGACCGCAATATAATCTCGTCCCAATAAATATATTTTTTGCGACAGGATTATTAACTCGTCCCTAAAATTTAGTCGTAGATAAGGCTTTTTTTTGTAGTGGCACTTGTTATCCATGATCTTAAATATTTGTAGCCTTCATGGTAACACGATTAAATTACTTTATGTGCTTTCAAAGATGATCTCATTTGTGAGCTTACATCAATTGACTTACGACGTACTCTCACGTACAAAAACATAGGGTGTAACACTTATCATGTTAAGAACCCTAGTCTCACCCCAAAGTATATGTTATAACATTCCAAACTTGTCGACTTTCGACGAAACTTATTTTCTTCATTTGGTTTAGCTTATAAGCTTTCCAACCCTCTTGGTACTCGTTATTCATGATCTTAAATATTGGTAACCTCCAAAGTAACATGATTAACTTACTTTATATACTTCCAAATATAATTTTATTACTGAGCTTACATCAATTGACTTACGGCGTACTCACACGTACGAAAATATGGGGTGTAACATGATACAAGGAATTCCTTAGAGATGATACCCCTCGGGAATCCTATCGTGAGGGTTCGCCACTTTGTTTGGTGAAGTTGTGAGTTGGCATGTCCATATTGGAGGGCAAGTCTTTATGTTGTGGCACGTCCTTGTTGAGTGGAGCTCCTTTACTGAATGTTGCATCTTTACTAACCGGTATCTCATTACCCATAGGGGGACCTGCTTTTATTGAGGATTTACGGAGTCCCCCAAATTGTTCACTAAGTTGAGGTGCCTTGCTTTGATCGGTGTGCTTGAGATCTTTCTCCTATCATTCCGATTTACAAAATAGAAAGGAAATTGATAAATGAGTACATGAGGGTATGGCAATGATTCAGTATGAGATGAAGTTTGCAGACTTGGCTCATCATGCAGTATGGTTTCATTCTTGAAAGCTGAACGGATGGTTGAGAAGGGATGTTTGGCGTATTTGGATTTTTGCAGAGATGTTAGTGCTGATATTCCTATTGTTTAGTCAGTTCCAGTAGTGAGGGAGTTTCTGAAAGTGTTTCCAGCAGACCTATCGTGCATGCCACCCGATAGAAATATCGATTTCGGTATTGATTTGGTACCGAGCACGCAACCTATCTCTATTTGTTTGTATCGCATGGCTCCAACGGAATTGAAGGAATTCAAACTGCTTAATCCAAAAATAATTTCAGGATAAAATAATTAAATTTATTTTCAATGAGGTCACTAACAATTGGTTTAATCGTAGGTATGTTAAATAACTCATTTCGCTAGGCTAAATAAGCAATAAACGACAATAATAATGTGACTAAGTAAATAAGCAAAGGAAAGAATAATCTTATTGAGATATGTTTAGGAGCCACAATGCTGAAAAGTAAAGATTGATTACCCAGCTTGACAAGAGCGAAATACAGTAGGTTATAATAAGAGTTAAATCATCTCAATTACAAGTTAAGAAAGTGAAGATATTTATAGCCTAAACCTAACGTTCATATCCCTAATTCAACTTTCACATGTTGGTATGGGTGGTTATTAGTTACCGAGATACTCACTGGTTGTGAGATAAGCGTTAGGTGTAGTGAATATGAGTGGATCTCGAATATTATGGCGACAGTTAAAGACCAAGTATGACTCCAGATCACAGCTGCACCAATGGATGCCCAAGGTCCTCCACGTAGTGCTTTTCACCGGGGCACTGCTTCTGTCTCCCCGCAAAGAAGCTATCGATCGAAGATACTTCTCATGAGTGCAGACTTCCGCTGTTCATTCATCCCTGGGTGACACTTATCCCCGCAGCATCACGTCACCATGTAAATTATCCACGTGTCAAGGCAAATTTTATAATTGCACTATCGGTTGCAAGTTCACTTTTAGGGATAATAGATGCAAATTTGACTGAAAAGCTGTATATTTGTTTCCTAAATTAAAAAATAACAAGTGCTGTGCGTTGTCAGCGCCTGTTCTTTAATCTTTGAGCACTGAAAAAGAATTTTTTTTTTAAAAAGAAGCTATTGGACTAAAAACGTTAATAACCTTTCGCGGACGTCAAAGATCTACTAAGCCACATGAGTGATGAGACTTTCTTAGTTGCCCCAAATGTTACGCCCAAAGGAACAACATTGTGAATGTTACACTTGTTACCCATTAAATTTGAGTAAATATCAAGTATAAATGTATACTGACCCACGATTGAACTACGATCCTAGCTCAGTCTTTGAGAATTTCCTTTTGGTTATCAATATAAAACGTTTATTAGACGTAGGAAATAGATTTGAAAAACAAAACTAAAAGATAATAGAAAAATATGAAAAACACATTGTAATTATTGGTTCTATGATGAGCTATCTTGGTAAATTTCATTTAACCCCTTTTTCTTTTTGGATTCGGAAAATAGTACGCACTTCATCTTTAAATAGCATAATGAATCCGCTTGAACATTAAAATCAAGACAAAATTACACAATAATGTACTTCATAAGTAGACCTTGCACTATTTTAGCGCAGTTATAAATTTATAAATGTGTAGTCAAATATCAATAAGATGTTTTCTTTTACCATTCCCTCTAACTATAACAACCTCATCTTTTTTTTCATCACCTACTTACTGTATTGTAGCTCTCTCCTCATTTTTCACCATAAATATCTAATTTAATTAATAAAAAAGTATCATATGCAAACAAAAAATGAAAACGAAAATTAGTTCCCTATTTTTAGTGTCACCATTGATCGAGACACTCAGTCAACACTCATTCATGCCTTCTCCCATAATCAATATTTCTCCGAATTATTTTTTTTTGGTTTCTTATTTTGTGTATCTTTAGGCGTGAAATATCCATGAGTTTTTATTCTCTTTTTCCTCAAGTTTATACATACCTATCACAACTACAAAACGCAAAATCAGACCCGAGAAACCTAAAATCTCATCTCGTTCAATGTTAATCTTCTTAAATTTCGATTATGATTTTATGAGAAATTTGGAGTGGGTATTGTTTGAACTTATTAGAAATATTCCAAGTAGGTTGTATACAAAGTTTTGAAGTTATTTGCTGGAGATTTGGACTAGTTTTATACAAGAATTGCAAGTGAAAATCGTACAAAAGTTCATCATAGATGCTTATACACTTTTATACAATGCTATACACTTTTATACAAAGAGGTACATTATGTATATAGTTGTATAAAAGTGTATAAAGATGTATAATCACAGTAGTAAAAATATTCGTGATACACTATATATATAGGTGTATAAGAAGAAGAAGAAGAAGAAGAAGAAGAAGAAAATAGAAGAAGAAGAAGAAGAAGAAGAAGAAGAAGAAGAAGAAGAAGAAGAAGAAGAAGAAGAAGAAGAAGAAGAAGAAAAAAATGTGAGAAATTCACCAAATACCTGTAAATAATGTATCAACCTTTTATAAAATAGTGTATAAGAGGTGTTTATACACTTTATATACTATTTATACAATATTATACATTATTATACAAATGAATTCTATCAATGGAGCTTCACAGGTTCTTTTTCTTCCTTGGGCATCCTCTGAAATTTAACTCAAATCCAGCATAAATCTACTCCAAATCATTAAGTTTTGAACCCCTGTTGATAATTCCAATTAATTGGGACAACACCCATTCCAAACAACTAACAAATCGGAAAATCCAATTTACTGAAATCAAATCTTTGAACCATAAGTGACAAAATTACATAATAATGCACTTCATAAGAGATTACCATCTTTGAATCTGGAAGAAGAATTGAAGGAGAATAACAATGGTAGAAAAATTTTGGGGTGCACTGTGCAAAGGCGTGACATGGGAAGAAGAAGAAGAGCGAAGAAAAAAAGGTGTGCTAACTGATTAAAAGTAATTTTCAGGTTATGTACAACCTGGGCTACACTAGTTAATGGCTCCAAATGTGGGCCATTTTCTAACGGGTTGTTGGGCCAAGTGACAAGGGGTGTAATTCTCCCTAAAATCAGTGACAAAAATAAGATGGGTCATTACATGTATTTTCAAGAATGTTAAAAACGACATTAATATTGCGGGTTTTGACATAGTTACCCACAAAAATAAAACTATTTACCCTTGTCTACCCATTTATTTTTCTACCCATAAACTAATTGCATTTCCTACCCATAGTAATTTTTGTGGGAAATTTTTTCTTTGTTCTCCAATTTTTTTTTATTTTTATGCTTCATTTCTTCTTTTTTTTCTTTTTTTTCTTTTCTCCTTTTCTTTTTCTCGTTTTCTTCTTTTTTTCTTTTTTCCTTTTCTAATTTCATTTAACTTCTTTTTTTTATATTCTTTTTCTCTTCATAATCTAATTTCATTTACTGTTTTCACTATTTTTTATTATTCTTATTTACATACAATAAGAAAAAATAATTGATATAGTAAATATTTATTCACCTTTTTTTAATATAACTAGTATAATATACCTTTTGTCTTTTTTTATTTTCTTAATTCAATTATTAAACTGAAATAATATGAGTTGTCACTTCATCTAATTCACTGAATATCACACTGACCGCTGCTAAGCACCATAAATTACATAATCAGATTCTAAGAATCAACACATGATTGCCTTGCAAACCTTGATCTCCTTCCCTACAAATATCAGTACACACTCTACCATTAGCAGTAACACAACCAATTATGGAGCAAGAAAGCATAATTTACGACCACCAAACCTCTATATATACTAGTTAGAATATAAATGATAATAAAATATTGGAAAATACAATAAAAGTATAAGTAGCAAAAAAAGACTTGTAATACCATATGATACTAATATGGCATTCATGTATACCATCAGAGTATATAATTGCTCTAGAATATTGCAACAATTATCTGCGACTATACTATTGTACCAAAACATTAAAGGATGCAATATAAGTATGAGAAAATTACATGCTCGCATTGCAAGCTAAATATTCGCAAAGCAACTTGCTCATTCCGTATACTAACAGGATATATAGTTGTATGGAATCATTCCCACAATTACGTATAAGTATAAAAAACTATTACATAATACACATAATCTATGTCTATCGGCACAAAAAAAATTCCAGTACTGCAAATCATGTTCATATAAATAATTTTAGAATAGAATTCACTTAAGAATGCAGCTAAAACAACCAAAAAAAATGTTCAAACTACCATATGATACCAATATGGTATATAACTATACCAACATGGTATACAATTTTACTTGTTAATTTCCGACAACTATATGACTATACTACTATTACATAACACACATGCATAAAGAGAAAAATAAAAAAAATAGTGTACCACATATTAATATAATAAAGTATTTCAAGATATTGTACTATATTACTATTATTAAAAGAAAATCAAATAGTATACCAAATAAATGCAGCTAATACAACCAAAAAATGATTCAACTAGCATATGATACCAATATGACATATAATTATACCAATAATGGTATACGGTTCTACTAATTAATTCCAGGAAACTATATATGACTATACTACTATTACATAATACACATGCATAAAGAGAAAAATTAAAAAATAGTGCACCACATATTAATATAATAATGTCTTTCAAGATATCGTACTGTAATACTATTACATAAAACAAATGCATAAAGAAAAAATTAAAATGATTACATAATAAACATGCATAAAGGAAAATTTAAAAAATTCAAGATATTGTACTATTCTACTATTACTAAAGAAAAGTCAAATAGTGTACCAATTAAATATAACTAATACAACCAAAAAAGGTTCCAATTAACATATGATACCAGTATAGTATAGATATACCAACATGATATACATTCTATTATTAAACTGAAATAATATCAGTTGTCACATAATCTAATTAACTCAATTTTCTGCATCATAATCTAATATCAGTCAACTTGGAAAATCCTCTAAACCTAAATTGCCAACTTTCGGCAAAACAATACAAATCAACCTCCGGACCTCCGAATTCGACTCCGGGCAAACACTGTTCCAGGGTTGTTTTCACAAAAATCAAACTTCGGTCAACATTTCCAACTTAGGGTTCTAAACCAAGAACCAAAGGGACCAAAATAACCCGAAACCTTTTCGGAACGAAAATAAACCTCGCAAGTTATAAAGCCAAAATCACATGTGTAAAGCATCCAAAGGGGAAAAAAGGCGCAATACATAAAACAATCGGTTGGGTCGTTACAAATGATGACTAACTATACAACCTTACAATTTTGTGGCAAACTAAAACCTTAGAAATTTTTATTCTTTTTTGAAAGATTTTTTTTTGTCAGCCTTTTTTTCTCCCTGGGATGGATGATAAAGACATGAAAGGAAAGGTGGATAGATCATACATCTACTTAGAAAATATAGGGATACTGGCAACGTCAGAAAGAGAAGAAAGAGAAAGAGAGGAAAAAAGGATAGGGGATGAAAGAAAAAGGGAGGAGAAAAGTTAGCTGCAGAGAGAAAAAATATAGGAAGATAGATGGCCGGGTTATTATTTTTGATTGCATAGGTATGTACTGTAATTATTTCTAGAATAAGTAAAGCCGGGTAATATTTTTGGATAGAATAGGTATGGAACATAATTTGCTCTTAATTTTGATGCACTATTATACATTCTTCTCGAAAAATTTTAAAAAAGAAAAGTATTCAAAGATACCAAAAAACCAACGGCAAACAATACATAGATCATTACAAGTATTTTCAAAATGTAGAAGAAACTACCTTCAACTATGATGGCCTATTATACATTCTTCTCGACTTTTTTAAAAATTATTCAAAGATACTTAATATGACTAACAGCCTGTTTGGATTGGCAAACCAGCTTTTAAGCCATTTTTAGATGTTTGGAGTGTTTGGCAAAAAAGAAAATAGCTTAAAAAAAGTTAAAAAAGGCTTTAAAAAAGCTAAAAGCTACTCCCTCCGTTCCAATTTATGTAAACCTGTTTGACTGGGTACGGAGTTTAAGAAAAAATGAAGACTTTTGGAATTTGTGGTCCTAAATGAGTTAAAATAATGTCCAGAGTATTTGTATGGTTATAAAAGCTTCTCATTAAGGGTAGAATTGTAAGTTTAAGCTAAATTATTTCCAAATTTAGGGTTCATTCTTTTTGGAACGGACCAAAAAGGAAATAGGTTCACATAAACTGGAACGGAGAGAGTACAAGTTAGGATATCCTAACTTCTCCGTTTTTGGCTTAAAAGCCATCTTATTTTGACCAACAAAATTACTTACTTATCCCTTATAACTTTTACTAATCCCAAAACTACCCTCATCTAATAAATTCTAAAACATCCAACTACTTCCACTTTCTGTTCATCTTCTTTCCTCTTCTTTTCCTTCATCTTCGACGGTGTTTGTTCTTCTCCTTCATCTTCGACACTTTATGTTCTTCTTTCCCAAACTACTCCCAAACTTTCCTTGTTCTTCATCGTAAGACATCCAACTACTCCCAGACATGGTTATAAGGCTTTACATTTAAAAAAATATGGTAACAATCTTTTTGCAAGTTTTATGCTTGGTCATGACCAGCTTATAGAAATCGAGGTTTGGCAGATTGTTACATAATAAGCAAGAGGAAGATGTAGGTTCTTAATTTGTTTTATGCGATATTTTTGTCTTTTTAACAGAAAAAAGTGCTTACCAGCACTTATTTACCAGACACTTCAATAACTTTTTTTAAGTTTCAGCACTTTTATCCAAAGAGGTAACTGCTTAATTTATAAAATAAGCTCCGGCACTTAAAAGTTGCTTTTAAGCACTTGTGCTTAAAAGCCATTTTTTTTAAGCCAATCCAAACGGGCGCTAAATTTCTTTAACTTTCCTACTATTTTTGAGGTAAGAAACTAGTACATCATTCATCTTTTGCATGGAAAAACCCTCTGAATTATTTTCTTGTGCTATGCAAAATTTTGAAATTTCATATTATCAGCTATAGACTACATATGACATTTGAAGTTGTAACCTTTATTTTCAATAATTACCCAATTCATTGTTAGTGTTGATTTTAGACAAAAGGATTCATTATCACATTTAAAGGTGAAGGAGGTACTAATTGTTGTTTTTCAAACCTAAAAGGTTAAGGGAATTAAGTGAAATCAACTGGAACTTTTATTCATACAATGTAATAATCTTAAATTTATAAATAAAATGCTAACACAAAATAACGTAACTTCCATTATTCTTTAAGGGAAAAAAAAGGAGTGAGACCTCAAAACGACAATTTGAGGCTGCAATATGAACCAAAAAGAGCGACAGGAGAGAATCCGCTTGACATGCCCAATGTAGCCTGACTTTGCCTGACTTTGCCTTATTGTCTGTTGGCCTCACAGTTCTGCCTCTGTATCGTGCTGAACCCTCACGACTAGTGGTGTCCTAGTGGTGTCAGTTATCAGGTATTTGCATTTATTTGCATTTTTTAGCACGTCTGTCGAATAATTTTGCCCACCAAAACAAGTAGACCGGAATTATTCACTAATCCATCTATTTGGTTTAGGTACAAAGACAATCTTATTTTGCATTAAGAGGATCCACATCTTCAAGACCATTCTCAAGTGCTCTAACTAAATTCTCAAAGTAATTCTTAGTCACACTAGTCAAACCAGTAAGCTTTCTACGAAAATCATAAAATGTTTTCGAATCACTTTCTTCAACATTCAAATAAATCTCCAGTTCCTTCTCTGCACAATGGTGTAGTCTCTCCAAACCAACCTCAGCCTGACCTTGCAAGTACTCAAAGAACTGCCTTTTCGTTTCCTCCTCATTAGGCAAGTAAAATCCATAAGCATAAGTCCATTTCAACACTCTCCTACATTCAATAATCTGATTCCAAGCATCTAAAATAAACTTCAATTGTGTCTCTGGTATTCTCTGCAATTTACTCAGCTCCTTAACATTCACTTCATCCATTCTCCTCATATCCTCTACAGCTTTTCGCCTCGACTTCTCATTTGCAGCCCATCTCTCGTAATAATGCGTGTATTTCATAATAGATTGCTTTGCCATTTCTTTCTTTTTCTCATCTTCATTCCCCGGCTTGTACTTGTTACACGGTTTATACCCGTGAATTTCCCAAGAATTAAGACACAGCCAACAGAACTGATAGGTGCAAGGGTTTGTACAAGTCATTCGCATACACCCTTCGTTCTTCTCAATTGGGCGTTTGCATTTGGGACAAGGTTTTGTGTAAGCCAAAATCCAGCTCGTATTTTCTGATTCTGCTCTGTTCTTCTCCTTCCATTTCCTCACTGTTTCACAATCAACGGGTCGATGAGCTTCATCCGTACAATTCCAACAAAAATAATGTGAACAGTTACACATAACATCGCAATTATCACTCCCTATATCAAATTCAACAGCGAAATTACATCCCGGAGCAGGACACCATTTAATTTTCCTGCTTTGCTCAACGTAAGAACGAAAAAGAAATCCATAATACTTCTTTTTATCAACATCGGACGCTAAAAGATCGATCATATCTTGTGTGACGGCAACTTTACAAGACGGTTCAGGACATCGTAAATTCAAACATCCAGAACCATCAGCTATGGAATTACTAATATACCCTCGCCAACATTCAACACAGAAAGGATGACCACAAGCAGACGCCAGAATTCCATCCGATGAATAATCCTCAAAGCAAATTACACAAACTACTGAATTCAATTCCCGAAATTGAATGGTTTTATTATTTATTTTCAAGCCAATAGCTTCTCGAACTTTCGATTCATCGGCGAACCACTCCTCGTGAACTTTACTCACACTCCAATTATACCGTCGGAGCAAAGCAGATGCTTCAATTTTGGAAACTGAGAGGACTGAGAAAACCTTAGAGATATCATCGTCCATGAGACGACGAATATCATCGTCCGATAAAACGACGTAGTTTTTCTTAGCGCAAAGATCATCGGAGTCATCAGGATCAATATTACCGATAAAGTCGTCGTCATCGGCGGCGCTGACGTCGTCGGAAGCGTCTCCGTCGCCGTAGTAATCATCGCCGGCGGATTCTACGTCACTATCCTCGTACATGTCGCCGTCGGACTCCATGATCGAAAGAGAGGAATTTGTAATAATAAATAGAAGTAAACAAAGTGAAAAGTGGAAGCTGAGTGAAAGTATATTGTTTTACGGAACAGACTCTTAACCCTAAAAAACTGTTTTTAAGAAGGTTGAAATCCGTTTAGTGATTGGAATTGGGTTAGGATAATCTTTACTCTTTAAGTATTAAATTTAGAAGTTGATGAAAATAAAATAAATCAAAATTTACAACATTATTTGAATTAGTAGTTGTGTTCGGGTAAAATCGGGGGCAAAGGTTTCCCCCGGTTCCTCGGAGAGAGAACGAAAGGGAACAAGTCGACAAAATTATTATTGAGGCCGGGAAGTCCTCATACCGAGACCCAAGAAGCTGAACGAACGATGTATATAAGATCAGACACGGCAAAGCAATGTACCCCGGATTAAGTATGGCTCCTGGACTTCAGAAGACGAGGTAAACAGTTATGCATGAAGGATTGGGGGCGTAATATTCGCCCTCAACCGAATTTTACTAATTTTACGGCGTGAATCCCGTCAGTATCAATCATGGATCAACAAGTACCGGGAAAATCAAATTTTTTCCTTTTTAGACTTGTAAAAAAGGGTTGAAATTCTTCAACTATATGAAGACAAATTTTTTCTTTAGTCCAACACATTATAACACGCAATCCAAGGCAATAAAAGGTTTACTTTTGTCCTCTAGCTACTGTTCAAGGCATTGTTTGTTTGTTCTATTCTTTATTTACGATCAAGCTTGTACCGAGGGTCCGATCGAGGACGAATTCCACCGTTTAATCTATAAACAGGCTTGGTCATCATCTTGCAATTGGTTTGATCGTTTATTTTGTCTTTAATTCATCTATCTGTTATTCTTAATAATTCATATTGAATTAAATCACGTATCCTTTAAACTGCGTACAAATTTAGTTGTTACTCATTTTTTGGGTAAAGTTGTAACAAACAAATATGTCACATTCTTATTTTAAATTAATACTAATGATAACTTTTCGAAGATTATTAGTCCTCGAGATATGTTGGAATTTTCTTTTTTTAAATACTTTACACAAAATTGACCGGTTATAGTAAAATATCAATACTAGGGACACAATTAACAAAATGGAGCAAGACATGTTTGAAATTCGAGGCTTTACATAAACAAATCCTTTGAAGCAAAATCAGAGTTTGAAAATCAAATAAAAGACTAAATTAAGAAAAAACCCGAGAGGTTCAAAATTACAACAACAACAAACCTAGTGTAATCTTATAAGTGGCGTCTAGGGAGAATAGTATGTACGCATACCTTACCCCTACCTTCAAGAAGGCAAAGAGGCTATTTCCGGTAGACCCTCGGCTTAGGAACGGTAAAAGGAAGGGCAACAACAAGCACACCAATCAGAAAACCGAAACAAAAATACAAAACTAACACTAGATACTGCAACCAGAAAATCGAAACGAAAGCAACAACAAATAATAACAGAAGTCAAGAAATACGAAAAAACATTAAGTCATGTAAGAAAGTTGCTATTACAAATAAGGGCAACGCTCTGCTACTTAACGCTTTACCTTTATTCTCAATCTCCATACCTTTCTATCTATAGTCAAGATTAACTTTTATTCAATCATTAAGAAATTTACGTCTTATGATTCATTCTAATTAAGGTTGTCTTTTGTCTTCTGGATGGTCTTTTTTACCTAATTTTGAAGATTTCGTAAATGACCATCTCATTTAGCTTTTGACTTTAATGTCAGGGGAGGTTCTCTATCACATTTAGACGGTGAAGGCGTATATTTTTTTGGGAGAAATTCAAAAATAGCCAGATTTACCACTGATCGTTGAAAAATAGCCAAGTTTTAAAAGTCATCGAAATTTAGCCACTTTAAATCTGAGCGAAAACACTGTTCAAAATCCGGAAAAATACGCCCGCAAATTTTACGGGAGTTCCAGCATAAGTATGCTTGAACTCCCGTAAATTTTACGGGAGTTCCAGGATAACTATGCTGGAACTCCCGCAAATTTTACGAGAGTTCAAGCATAATTATGCTGGAACTTCCGCAAATTTTACGGGAGTTCCAGCAAGTATAATTGTCCAGTATAATATACTGGAGTTTGGAGCACTGGTGCTCCAGTCTCCCGCAAATTTTACAGGAGTTAGCAAAGTATACCGGTCCAGCATAATATGCTGGAGTTCGTACACAAATGCACCAGAACTCCCGTATATTATAATGGACCGGTCCCTGTTGCAGCAAAATAGTGGCTATTTTTCATTGACTTGATAAACGCTGGCTATTTTTTATTAACCAGTATGAAAGCTGACTATACCATGATATTTTAACATATTTTTTTAATCCAAAAGATTAAGAAAATTAGGTACTAGAATATACTAAAATTATAGCGTAGAAGACAAGGCAAATGAAAAGCATAAGAAACATCAGTCCTACGACAAGCCAAGTCATTCTCCCTTGACTTTATGGCAATATCCTAGTAAAGTCCAAAAGGAAAGAAACAACATTTTCCTATTATTTGCATAAAAATATAGTCCACTACGTAACCATATTTTTTAGTTTGCAGTCGCATAACCAATTATTCTTGTGCAATTTTTTTTGTATATCCGCTATATAATATTGTATACTTATTTTTCCTGAGTAAATAGAGTTAAATTTGACGAAAAATCGAAAAACAAGAGTCCTCTTCTTCTACTTATTTCACATGTAAATAGTTTAAATTAGCTTATATTTCCTTCCCTAAAAAACAAATGTCATTTTATTTAGCTAAATATACTTGACCAAAATAAGTGTTGTTTCGAAAAATTAAAACGACATTACTTATGTTTTTCTAAATCTATTTTCGATCTAATAAATTACCCACAGAGTATAATGAGTAATTTGACTACAATATAAGACATAACTTAATCAAATAAATTTTATAATTATTGTTTTATATGAGTTTTTTAATAATCATACAAAAAATTTAAAATTATATTTATTTTAGACATGAAGTAATATTAAATGTGAATCTAATTGTAATTGCATTAGATAACTTGATATTACAACAAAAGAAGATTGTCAATGATTATAAGTAGAACGAAAATGTTATAACTCCTGCTAATTCACACAATATGACCATGAAATATATGCTCCTTTTAAATTTTAATTTTTAATTTTTAAGTACTAGCTAAGACTAATAAAATTATGATTTTAATGACTTTAGGTGACTTAAGAATAACTTTAGTATCCTTTGAAGATGAACTCTGTAACGACCCGGCCGGTCGTTTTTAGAATTTACGCCCCAATCCCCTATTTACTACTTTTCCCGTATTTATTGCTGCTATTTTGAATTGCCGGGATGGTCGGTTTTGAACTTCGGAGAGTTTTGGGACACTTAATCCTTAAATGAGAGCTTAAGTGTTGGAAAGTTGACCGTAGTCGGAACAGTGTGAAGACGGGATCGGAATGGAAATCTGATGGTTCCGTTAGCTCCGTTGGGTGATTTCGGATTTAGGGGCGTGGTCGGATTGTGTTTTGGAGGTCCGTAGCTAATTTAGGCTTGAAATGCCGAAAGGTGGATTTTTTGAAGTTTCCGGTTCGATGGTGAGATTTTGATCCGAGGGTCGAAATGGAATTCCGGAAGTTAGAGTAGCTCCGTAGTGTTGAATGTGACGTGTGTGCAAAATTTCAGGTCATTCGGACGAGGTTTGATAGACTTTTTGATCGAAAGCGTATTTTGAGAAATTTGGAGTTCTTAGGCTTGAGTCCATGGTTAATTTGAGGTTTCGATATTGTTTTAGGTGTTTTAAGGATTGGTACAAGTTCGGACAGTGGTATTCGACTTGTTGGTGCCTTTGGTTGAGGTCCCGAGGGCCTCGGAATGATTTCGGGTGGTTGACGGAGGAAATTTGGGGTTAAAGTTGCAGCTTCAGCTGCTGGTTCTGTCATAACCGCACCTGCGGTTTGGGTTCCGCAGGTGCGGTGCCGCACAAGCGGCTAAGTGGTCACAGAAGCGGTTTTGAGGCAAAAGGGAGTTGACTTCAGATGCGGTCAGGTAACCGCAGAAGCGGCACCGCATCTACGGTGATGTAGTCGCAGGTGCAGAAAGTCCCCCTTTAATAGAATGTCGCAGATGCGACCGGGTTTTCGCAGATGCGGGACCGCAGATGCGGTAATCGCTGGGCAGATCATATAAATCCTTGATTTCGCGAAATTTAGTCATTTTTCATCTTTTTCAAACAGGAAGAAGCTTGGGAAGCACTTTTCAAGAGGGATTTTCAGAGGAGTTCATGGGGGTAAGGTCTTTGGTCCCTAAACTCGTTATTGGAATGATTTTTATCAATTTAAGCATGAAAAATTAAGGAAAATCAGTGGTAATTGTGGGATTTAGGGCTTGGGATTAAGAGACTTTGAAATGAGAATTTGAGGGGTCATTTGGGCTCCGATTTTAGTGTTCTTGGTATGTATAAACTCATGAGAGTGTGAGGCTTCGGAAAATATAAATTTCACTCGATTCCGAGACGTGGGCCCGAGGGGCGTTTTGGTCATTTTACCTAATTTCGCGTATTAGCTTAGAATTTAATTGTAGAATCAATTACTTGCAGTGTTATTAACATTATGAAATTTAATTGGATTTGGGCCATTTGGAGTCGGATACTCGTGGCAAGAACGTGGTTTCGGGTTGACATTTGAGCCGGTTCGAGGTAAGTAGCTTGTCTAACCTTGTGTGGGGGACCTTTCCCCTTAGGATTGATATTGTGATAATTGAAATGCCTTGTACATAAGGTGACGAGCGCGTACTTGTGCTTATTGTTGGAAATCCGATTTTTTCATTAGAAATAGCCTTGAATCGGTTCTTCCTTTTCTTGCTTACACTGTTTGAAAATTTAGCCTGCTGATAGCCTAGAGAAGCATGTCTACTTGATTAAATTGCTCTATTTGCCTTAACTACCTTATTTGTATTACGTGAAACATGCTAGGTTAGGATTACATGCTTCACCTTGATATGAAATTAATTGAATTGAGTTCTTGTTGCTGCTGTGTATTTACTTTGGGACTACGGGACGGTATCCAGGGAGCTCCCCTGTATGTTTACTTTGGGACTACGGAATTGCATTCCATGAGATCCCCCTGCACT